GGTGCAGCTTTCAAATGTGGTCCGCTACGCGTCCTCACACCCACTCAGTGACTGTCCCGCCGTGCAGCTCGCTTCGCTCGCTGCTGCTGCGCTTTCCGCGCGCGTGTCACGCACATCACAAATAACAAAGCAGCAATTTGCATGAGCACGGCCGGGGTATGGCGGCTTGCAGGCAATCGTGAATGATTGAATAACGTGCCCTGCTGCAGCATGACGATCGAGCCATCACGAGTGAAGGCGGTCGTGCACAACGCCGCCCGTCTTTGCGATTTGATTAGCTCCAGCCTCATTCGTGATTCACGATCGTTCATCCACTCGCGATTCGCATTCTTGAATCAGCGAGCACTTGAGCCCACTCGGTCGAGATCCAAGCAGACCGTGCACAGCGTCAATTTCGCATCGAAGTGTCGTGGGTGAGCGAGGGTATACATCTTAAATCAATCGATTGTCGTCGCAGCAATGGAGTCAACAGCGCGCGGCTGCTCGACAGCTATACGAGTGGTCAGACAGCTGGCTGGGCGGGTGCAGCACTCGTGGATGGCTCGGCTGCATGCTTGGAGTAAAAATCGCCAACCTGCTTTTCGAGGTAGTCCCAAGCCTTTTGCTGCTCTTCGACATTGTCTGCCAGAGCATGTTGCGTCTTGAACTGTTGAGGGAGCAAGAAGGCAATAGCGATTGGTCAGACGAGGGCCAAGCCTCGCTCCAGCGGGCCGCTCACCTTGCGTGCCCAAGGAACGTAGTACTCTCCAGAGTCGGCTAGGGTGACATTAGGCGAAGTGGCGCAATAGAGCTGAGTCACCGCACCCAGCTCGACGCTGGACATGAAAATTGTGAGAAAGGGTCCCATGTACCTGTACAGATCGCTCGCAATGATTCCTGGATGCAGCGAAGTGACGATGACGCCATCGTCTTTGAGCTGGCGCGCCAGCACCTTGGCTTGCTGTATGTTGACCAATTTGCTGCGGAGCATGCGAGCACTCTTAGCATGCTTCTTTGTCAGCATGGGCCCACACTCACCTTTGACCGTACAAGGGCCCGGGCGCGAGTCTCGTAATGTTGGGCTCCTTGACCGCCTCAAAGTCGAGCTTTTTGGGCGCCATGTTCCAATGCGCAGCGCTGCTGACATATACGATGCGCACAGAGTTGGGAGGAGAAGATGCGGCAGTCTTTTTGATCAGGGGTAGCAGCGTCTGGGTAAAGGCGTGGTGACCAATATTGTTGGTGCCTTTACCAAGAGTCGTGCTACGCATGAGCATCCGTTGCGCTTTGCGATTCCAAGCACTGCGATGACTCACCAAACGTCAACTCGTAACCGTCCAAAGTTTTGCTTCCTTTTGGCGGAGTCATCACGCCAGCCGAGTCTGTTGTGTGGGGGGAGGCAAGGATCAGGAAGCGGGAGCGTAGGCGACACCACATGTGTCGCGCTCACTGATCAGCACGTCCAATCTCGTCTCCTTGCTCAGAAACTCCTCGGCAGCAGCCTTGACAGCGGCCAAGCTTCCCAAGTCCAGCTTGAGCAGCACCACATTAGCATCTGCCTGCGCCTTTTTTATCTTTTCAATCGCTTCTTGTCCCTTTTCCGTATTTCTACAAGCGAGGTATACCTTGGCGTGCTTGGCCGCAAGAGCTTTGGCGGTGACAAATCCAATGCCGGTGTTGGCTCCAGTCACTAGGTGCACACGGCCAGTCTGGTCTGGGACATCGGCCGCATTGTAGGGAGATTTGCCGGCGAAGATGCCGCTTCCTCGAATCAGATCCATCAACATGGTGCGATGCAGGGGGATTGACGGTGTAGACAAGGTGGATGCAGTGGCCTGAAAGCAAGCTCCCGATTGCCGCTCCTTTCTATATGCCGTAGACTCGCAGATCAGGGGCCTTGCTCATGTCGCCAACTCCACCGCGTGACTCGTGTGTATAGACCGCAGCGGGGGATTTCTAGCTTTACGTACACTGCATTCAAAACTGACGAAATGTTGAATCGGAGCCGAGCATGCGAAGCAGCTGCGAGTGCGGAATCACAAACGCGCGGATGATAGGTCACGCTAGAATTCCGCGGGTCATTAAGAAAGTGGAGGTGCTGAAAAGCATGTCGGCATACTGTACACGCGGGGGAAGGTGGTTGGAGAGCACACGCTTTATATTTGATTCGCTGCGCCGTTGCAGTCACGAAGCGACTGGCCAATTGTAATGTATATCATTATTCATACCGATATCGGCACATTTATCTGACACGGATCCTGGCGGCCTTTAGAAGTGCGCGCGTAAATGTAGCAAGGAGTTCGTCGGGCTGCTCAAGACCAGTGGACACGCGGACCAGGCTGGCAGGAACACCATACTCTGCCGCCCAATCAAGCTCAGTGTAATGTGCCAAGATGGCGTACCTATGCGGAGATCAATAGTCTGGTCAACCCCACGTCTGCTTTGCGCTACTCCTCTCAGCTCGACTCACGGAGAGGCCAAGGTGAAGTTGCTACCGAGACTTGGACCCTTGGCCACGTCAAGATTGTCGTAAAACACCTGCGCATGCTTTGACGTCTCAAAAGTGATGCTGAGAAGGCCACCGTAGCGACCCTGCTTGCCGGCTGCAGCACTCGTCGTGCAGCCATTCGCGCCGGCTTCGTCGGCTGGTAGCAGCGGGGCCTTGCGTCGACAAGCATCGTACGCATCACGAGTGACGTATTTTGGCTGTCGTTGCGCAGGTGAGCAAGCCAGTGTCAGACGCTTGAACGCGGGATTTCGACGACATTTCCACTCACATAAAAGACGTCTGTGATGACGCCTCTGCCGCGCTCTTCGTACAAAAAGTCGGCAAGAGCTTCGGCATTCTCGTTGATGCGTACCACTCGTTTGGCAAAGTTGCGCGAGTTGCGTTCCATCACACAGGCATCACCTCCGTAGTACGTGTCTTCGTACTCTTGCTCGAATACCTGACGAAGAAGCGCAGCATGCTTTGAGCGTGGATTGAGTACGAGGCTGGGGGACGTAAAGCAAAGTCAGCCTCGGAGATGGTGCGCTTCGCATGCATCATTCAGCTCACCTTCCGCCCATGACATTGGTGTCGCCGCTGAATACTTTCGTAAGACTGCTGACCACAATGTCAGCGTAAGGCAGCACCTCTACGTTTAGAAAATTTCCGATGGTCTCATCCACGACGACCAGAAAGCCGTACTGATCAGCAAGTTGGCGCAGCCGGTTGAGATCGGGCGAACGCAGGAGGGGATTGGAGGGAAACTCGCAAAAGAGAGCCAAGGGTTTCGTGTCCATGCTCTGTAAAGCGCTCTCCAGGTGTGCAAGGTCAGAGCTGGTTCCATGCCCATAAAAGAGTGCGCCGTCGCCCCATTTTTGCAGGATCTTGAGCGTGTCGAGGTAGGGGAAGCTGCGA